TGGTGTCAGGATGCTAAGGGGAATTACTTTTAAGGACACCTGTAACCCATTAGTGACACACTGGGGCATTGCCTTAGTACACCTCAAATTGCCCACGTTCACAAGATGTGCTCAGTAAACTTCCCATAGATGTGAATAAATTTTTAATTCGTAGTAAAAACTCAAGATTTGTTGCATAATTCTTGTTTGGTTATGACTGAATTATTCCCAGCCCTTTACTACTGCATATAGCAATTACTTCCAATAACTATATAGAAATGATATGTCATGGTTGATGCGAAACTCAACTGTAAAAGTAAATATGATCACACATGTAAACAGTTGCTTCAGTTAAACACAACAGCACCATGTTCACTCTTCATGTGTACTACATCCTTAAGAACAAATCAAAAGCAAATCATGCAGTGTTTACCGGGTCCCTTCTCACAAGCTCTCCATTGGGTACTACTTCAACCAGGTGGATGATGATAATCATAGAATTCAGAATATAAGTCAGAAACATGTTCTTGTGCAGAGTTACCCTTTGGCAGCCAAGGTTCCTGGAGGAAAAAGTAACAGCATTAACCGGTGCCAAAAATATGGACATACCTGGAAAAAAATTTTTTTGGTAATATTTGTATTGTTTCCTTTAGCAATAGATGAGAGACATATAGAAATAAGTGAGACTGGTCCCATCTTTAAGACTCATTACTACTTTTCTGCCTGATTTTTAAGAACAGTTTTCTAGTCACGGTAGCTCATAGTTTTCAGTCCTCAGGGTGACTTCATACAATAACTGAAAGAGTGAGTGATAAAATCACTTTTAATTATACCAAATGTCGTGAAATTAATTAAGAGAAGGACTCTTACAAGAGAAACCATTAGGGTTTGGAGTGTGCTTCAGATGAAAAGTCGAATATTCATTGATGTAACCGGGCAGAAATTGTGTGGCAAATGGGATAACAGAGCATGAAGTCAGAACCAAGGCTGCCCTTGACAAAGTACTGAATCTGTGTCCTTGACCCATCACAGACACAGACTTTATTAAGTCTCCGTCATTCTTCTCTTTTGCTATTTTTTCTAACGTCTTCGTATTTCTCATATTCCAACTGGAATCAACTCTGTGGTTCTCCCTTTCCACATCCTCCTGATGGTGGAGCTCAGACACAGGCACAGAATTCTACATAGGCTCAAATTTAATCTCATTATAAGGCATATTGTGGTTTGGATCTGATGAAACCCATCCACGTGCCACTGCTTGTTGGCATAGCCATTTCCCACCTTTTGGACACTAAACAATTTGTTAGAATTTTCATTCCTTTCTCCTCCATTTCATAAGCTTGTACATACGTATTTGTGTGAATGATCACATAAATAAACATTAGTTTGGATATCCTATTCCACTTTTTGATGCAAATGGAGAGAGTCCTGCAGGATGGCTATAACAAAATTGGAATGATTATCCAAGAGGAATAAAAATCTTGCATTTACCATAACTGATCCAGTCAAAAAACATTTAGCATAATGTGAAAATCTAAAACATTCAATTAATGATGCCAATGACTGATCATAGTAATTATTCCTAATTCATGGAATAAAGTTAGGATTCCAGGAATTTTGAAAAGGAAATTCTGGGGAAAGATGAAATATGAGAATGGTCTGGCTTTACTTAACAATGCTTTCCTAAATTTCGAATCAAAAGAAAATGCAATTATCTGTTGTAAAAAGTCGATTTAAGTAATAAGGGCATCTGTTAAAACATATTTTGATTTTTGTAACTACATCTTTCAACATTCAGGAAGCACAACCATTAGTAAATAGTTAACACAGAATATCTTAAATTTTTCAACTTGCTGAGCAGGGATAGAATGCAGAACTTTATATCCAGGAAGGGTTTAGAGAAGAACTTAAACACACGCATGTGCACACACACACACACACACACACACACACACACACACACACACCTGTACTACTTTATTTGACAGCGGAAAACTCTGTTAAATAAACCAAACCTAATTGGTTTTATAATAGTACTATAAAAGTAGGTTGCAAATTTAAGGCTTTAAAAAGAAAAAATTACTTATGGTAAACATCATACCCATTTATACTGCATAAACTCTTCAATATTGCAACTGGTACATTAAACCTGTGACCTGCCATTTTCCATATAGTCATAATAGCATTTCATAATTCTTCTCACTGGGGGGCAAATATCTGTGGCCTCATTACTGGATTCTGCCTGGCTTAAACCAACGACACTTGGCATTATCCAGAACTGAAGAGTGTGGATAAATGCATCACACAGTGCCGCTGTTCTCATGCCTGGTTTTCTTCTGATCAGGTAGAGTTCAATAATCTGCTGATATACAACATTAGTTTAAAGGACTGGTTAATGTTCAATCTTCTGTGTAAACCAAAAATCGGCTTCCTCTACTTCTAGCTTATTACTCCCTGGCCCTTTTATCCTTACTTTATTATTTTTTTCCCTTAAGACCACCTTCTGACATATCATATATTTGTTTATTGCCTGTTATTTTCTCCGTTTCTTTCACTAGAGTGGGAGTGCTAAAGGATTTGTTTTGTGCACCTAGAACAGTGTTTGACACCTTGTAGGGCTTGATACTCATGTTTTTTAATTAAAAATCTTTACATAAGAGCAATTTCCTTCTTCAAGCAGTGGCCAGTAAGTAGTTTTCCAGTATATCAGAGAATTACATTAAGTGCTCGATTGTGTAATATCTTATACTTTGAATCATACTGAACATTTGCCAAGTTCTTACTATAGGTATTAACTACCTAATATTGGACATTATGCTGTTGTTCAACAGTAGCTAAAACCTGTATGTGGTACGGTGTTAATTATATAATGAGAAAATGAAGGTTTAAAGCTGGATAAACTATTAGACTCCAAAGGAAGAATATGACTAGTATATAATAAGAGTTTGTGTCTTAAAGTTTCAATATAATTTCTGCTTATTGAGTTTAAAAAAATTTTATTACACTTACTTGACAACATTTAAACTCAGCTTTTTGAAGCAAGTTAGAGTTACTTTAAATTTATTAAAATTCCTTCAGTAATCTAACACATATCACTGTGTACCCATTTAAAAATCCAACACACATTACCATATGGTTCAGACCTTTGGTAGATGCTAGGGGTATATGGATGAACAAAACAGCCTCTGCCTTCAGAGACCTTATATGCTAAATAACTGTTTATTTTCTCTTATTATGATTACTGTTCTGAAGGAGAGGTATAGGATGCTAAAGAGGGTAACTGAACTTAACATGAGTAATTATGCGTTCAATTGTTCTCAATGCAAATATCTTGTTGCTTGAATGAACATGATCTGTCAGATCTGAAAGGTCTTAAGTAGAAAATAGCACAAACCTGATGTTAGCTATACTTCATTCCTCTTGATTAAAAGAAACAGTTATTTAGATAGAACATTGCTTACTCTTTGCAAGACAAGGAACCCTAAGTACTATAGATTCTCTAATAGCAGGAGGATAAGAGAACATAATTGACGTCTGTCTTGGCCCAAAGTGTCACTCAAATGTGAGGAAGAGATAATGATTTACCTAGGTATGAATCTCAAGATGTCATACTTTAAGACTAAAGCTAGATGTTATTTTCATGGTTTTAGCTTACTTGGGGTAAATCTGCCACACTATTTGTTTCAAATAATTGGGACCCTATGTATGTATGTGTGTGCTCTTGGGGAGCTTTTAGTCATATGAAAAAGCATTTATATTTGCCTTGAGTTTTGCATATTGCATAAAAGAGTCTGATATCAGAGGATAAGGAAGAGCAGTGTTCAGTCCTTTATAAGACAGTGTAATTACAGTCACATTCAAAGTAAATGAGGAAAGACACAAGCAATAAAAAAAGTAAAAGTTGTTTTGAATTTACTGATGCATGAGAAAATGTGCATTGGAATAACTGTTGTGATTAGTACAAGGAGTCATATCTCTCAGTGTAATGCTAAATTTTTCTTTACCTGGCTATCATATTTTGTTCACAATAGACCAGACAAGTAAGGAGAAGGGGAGGGAATCGTGGAATGGACTGCATTAAAACTCCTAGAAGAATTTGAAACCCAATACTCTTTATATCTTTCCCCTCTGACAAGAGACTTTATACCTTTGGATTTAGCACAAAATCTTTATCCTTAAGGAACTCCCTTTTGATCATAATTCTTGCTTCTTTTCCTATTACCACTATTCTATGAGTGAACAGTTTACCAAGATATGACTGGCAGTTATCTTTTGTGTCCTGTTGTGTCAAGGGTGGGTTGGGAGAAAGGAGGTTATCTTTGGTGCCATTGATTTAGTGGTTTCTTTGGAGCAATAGGAAGGCAGCTGGAGATGTATCATAGTGGATGCTATAGAAGATAAAGTGTTATCTATCCATCCACTATGTAGATGTGACAGAATAATAGTGAATGCTGATGAGTAGAGAGGAATCAGTATTGCTTCTGGAAGGTCCCAGTGGAAAACCTCCTTTTGTGCTGATATGGCCAATGTAATGTAATGTAGACAATGTAATGCAATAAAGACACCCCCCCATCTTCCAACATATATCTCTATTAACTTTCAGGCAAGAGTAATTAATATTCAAAATTTAACAGTAAGTAAGGCATGAGTATCAAGCAGTTAAAATGGATGATAATGAATGTTCTATTACTGTGCTTTCCTGAGAAAAAAGAGTTAGATATTTAGTAATTTAGGATTCTTCCACAGAAATGTCAATTGATAATTCTAACTGGAACTGATGGGATAAGTGAATTTTATTGCAAACTTGTTTAAAATGGTCAGGAAATGCACACAAATAAATGTCCACTTATGTGGCTTTCTCAAGCCTGTCTCCCCTCGGGGTATCTTCATCTTAACTCTCTTGTTGACATTTACTATTGGCATGTAGTAGTGAGGAGTCTTGCTGAATAAATTTGATGTTTCTATTTAATCCCTCTCCATACTGTTGCTCCTAACTAATTTTCCTGCAAAGAAAATGAGTATATATGAGTAATTTCCCAGATTTTTAGCAGCAACGTATTGGCAGTTCCACAGCCTCCCGTGTATTTAGTGACTTTAAATTCCTCTGCAGGCTTTCTTAGCCTGCTGGTTTGAGGAGGACACCTGCAGGGTTATTCCTTTTTATAGATCCTATAAGGCACATTTGATGAGTTGAGAGTGAGTTTCAGTGGGATGATTATGAATGGGGCATTAGGTCTGAAAAGTGGGACTGGGTGTAACTTCTCATTTTGGTTTCATGAAATTTTTATGAAATTGATTGTTTGGATTTTGCAAAATAACTCAACCCTGGGAAGGTGGAATTAAGCGAGGGAATTATGATTTTTTTTTTTTTTTTTGCTCAGGTTTACACAGATGATGCATCTTAAACTCATAAATCACAAAAGCTTCCACTGTAATATGAAGTAGAGACCTTAAGGGTGATGTTGAACATTGAGAACAATTTGGGGAAAATGTTGCTAATTAAAAGACAAAATCCAATGATAGATCAGAATTACCTTCTTTTAATATTTATGAAATGCAAATGTAAAGAAAAAAATCTGAAGATTCAGAAACATACTTTAATTTTAAGAAAAAACACAAATGCCCTGGATATTTTTAGTTTGAGCAGGTTTAAGATAAAATTAAGAACAAGTATGAAAATCATGTGTGACTGCTTTTAGATCTGAATATTTGATATCGCAGCATGTGTGTTTTTCATATCCTATTTGTCTCTTGTTGTATGTGCTTTGGAGAACAAGCTAGTTCGGTTTATGTCTCCCCATTATCGCACTCAGATTATAAATCCATAAGAGCTGGTTTTCCTCCCAAGATTAAAGTTGCTGTTTGGTAGGCTTTTGGAACTGAGAGATCGTAGGACAATATTAGGTGCTTTCTAATCAATCTGCCCCCAAATTCTCTCATGGGTTCAGCGAGATTAATTGTGTTCTGGGTCTAACTGGAGTTGAGAAGTATTTTACTTTACTTATGTGCTGTACTTTTAAACACCCATCTTCAGTGGCTTAATACAGCAATGAGTGTTGAAAGAATACTGCTATTTTCTTTGCTGATTTGGCTCTCACATCCTATCACTTATTTAAGTGACTGGAGAAATAAAGAAGTAAGAAATGTTCCCTGGACATTTTTTATCTTTAAACTCCTGAATACACTTATTAGTTTCACCATTACAAACTTGGGGTCTTTTTCTTTCAATTTTTTATGGTTACATTAAAAATTTTAAAGGTGAGACTTTTAGTGACAGACTTTTTAATCAAAGTTCTATGGGAGCCATGATGATGTATTTATTCACCGTGGTCAAGTGCAGTTGAAAAATGAATAGACATTCCAAGATTAATCATGCTGTGTGTTTACTCTGTTGTATTCTGATCATTATAATTGAAAATACTCTTCTATTCTAATTCTAGTAATTGATCCCTTATGTCTTATTGCTTTGTTTATATCTTTCTCCTGTTAAACCATATATGGAAAGAGCTCATTCTGTTTATTTAATTTATTATTTATTTATTGTTATTTAATTATTATTATGCAGTTAACAAAAAATTGCTATTCAATTACGTTCTTTTGTCAGAATAAGAATCTTGACTATATAAGATATAGACATAATATGATAATGGTATAAGATAAAGGCAAAGATTAAAAAGGATCAAGGAAAAAAATAATAGTAGTTGTGTTAAGGGTGTGTTTACAGGTGATTCCCCCCTTGGGTTAGGCTTCTTTAGTATTATCATGATAATATTTTAACAAAAATCAAATTAAGATTCTGTTATACTATATATGAATCACTGTATATTTAGTTACATAATCACATCTGTAAAGTGTGGAGGATTATTTGTAGTCTGAGCCTATGAAGGAGCTTTTTTTTACCATTTATATAATACCACTGCAACTAAAAAAAGTATTAGTTGAAGGAGACAGCCCTGTAATGTAGAAATTAGAATTCTCATGAAAGGGTAACGTAGCGCCTCCTGCCTTTGATTTAAAGGAACTACACTAAATTTAGGATGTTTCTAGAACTGACTTTAACTTTCGTTACTATCTCACATGCATTAGGAAGTCATTCCTGAAAAAAACAGATTTAAAGTTTCAAATTCTCCATTAATACAAAATCAGTAGTTATACCAATGTTTTGTCATATATAATGCAATCAAGTACATAGACACAGCCTTGGAATGGAAACCTCATTGGGATTTTACTCCTCACAGTGTCTTAGGAGGTAACTGTGGTGGATGATGCCAGGTTTGCAAGGGCAAAATACTGACACTTGACTCTTCTTCCAGAGATTCTCCTTGGTCTTGGATGAGTGAGTCAAGGCCAGAAGGGAGCCTTACCTTCCTTCTCTGACTAAACACTATCATGGCCTCAGTAGCCACACTTCTCCACCGGCCAAATCCACCTGTGATACAGCTCATAATTAGGCAAGATGCATTTGAACTTCTGGCCATGACCTCCATATTTTAGGATGGGGGTAAAAGAAGGAAGAAGAGCCTGTCCTCAATACTTCCTGCAACCTTAGCAATGGTAAGTGGAGCCTTTAACATGTTAACAGGATACCTATGGGCTCACAGGACTGTTTCATTTTGGGAAAGGCATATTGCCTTTGAGAATTATACGATTCCACCTTATTTTTCTCAGAGATAGGATTAAAAATGGCTTTAATTAATTTTATTTTCCTTGCTACTTCATGACTCTTGGTGGTGCATTTCTCTTGTGATTTGCAGAAGATCACCCTTCCCCCAACTCTTGCAGAGTTAACCATTTACTTCAGTACCTTAAATAAGAAAATAAAAAGCAGATGCTATGAGGGTACTTACTTGAAAAACACGAAAATCCCCAGCGAAATCACCAAGGTGAAAATCGACAAAGAATGACCCACAATAGCCAAGTAGTACAGGACATATGCGTTCTGCAACAGCAACAGCAACAACAATGAAACAGTTATAAAAATAAACAGGCAAATAAGTGATAATAGAGGAGGGAAAATAGTTTCTATTTTTAATATAAGTGTAATTCAACAATTGTTCTCCTTTAAAAAAAATCTAAAATTATAACATATTTCAGAGAAATTATATTGAATTATAATATTTGGGTTTAACAGGTTAAATAGTATAAGATTATCAGTTATACTAGAATTTGCATGATGTGGTGGGAAGAATGTAAGACTGGATTCATCAGAGCTGTTCTTTACTCAGAGTATTAGTGATTAAGTCTTTGTGTGACTCTCATAAGTCAGCCACTTCACCCCTCTAGATCTCAGTAGTTTTTATCTGTAAAATAATTTGGTCAAACTAAATGATTTTTAAAATAATTACATACTACTTATAAGAAACATAATTAAATACTGGGGTACAGAAATACTGGACATAAAAGGATGGGGAGATGATGATCTAGGTAAACACTAACCACAAGAAAATGGGTGTAATATCATATAGGTCCAGAGCTCAAGTCAGAGAGATAAAACAATTTGTAATTTCTATTCACCTAATAATATCAGTTCAAACCACATAAACATAAAGCAAACGCTGACACCACTTAGTAATCAATAGAACACACAATACAAACGCAGTATAAATAAGTTGGATAATTTCTGTGAAGTTTTTTAATTCCTGGTAGAATGTGGCATTTATGTACAAATCATGACCCTTCTGCATTTGATTCTTGTCACTTTACTCGTGAAGAGCCTGATATTGAAGTACTGATTCCACTAACAGGCTCTCAAAGCATGCAGAGTCCTTTGTTTGGTTAAATGCATTATTGCTGGACAGAAACAAATATTGCTTTTCTAGGAGTTTGAATTTCAAAATGAACTAATCAACATCTCCTGAATTGTGGCTGTTCACCACTTGACCGGGCATTTGCATATTATTTGCCATTTTCATTGATACTACTCTCCTAACAGAGTGCTTTTTATCTTTGCAGAAATGATAATTAAGGTTGGAGTCGTTGGTTTATATCTAGAACTTATGATAAAGACTTCAAAATAGCCTATAAGCCCCTTCTTAGGAAGTATTTAGGAATCTTTGCAAAAAAACAGATACTCAGCTGCTGTATTTTCTCCCACCAATTCATTTTCTGGCTAGTTTTTTCACTTTACCACTAGACAAAACCAGGAGTGGCATTTTCTAAGAGTTCTTCCTTTTAAATAGTTCGCCATGTAGAATCCCCTTGTCATTGAAAGTACTGTTTTTAATTTAGATATATGCTCATGCCCCATCCTCTGTCACTATTTTATTTTTATCTCTGTATATTTTTATTTCTAAGAAAGTTTTATATAATTGATTTTCTTTCAGTTGCCTCCAGACTACTTTAAAAAATATTTATTCCTTTGAAATAAAGTTGTCTAAATGTGTAAGATTAAACCAACAGCTCATAATTTAGTTGCCATTCTTGGTGTCATTCTTAAGACTGAGAAGTGCTTTTTTTTTTTAAATAAATTCTAAGATTCTTTCTTCAAAACAAAAAAAATTTTTTTTTGCCTGTATATAGATGGAAGATTTGTTCAAAGAATTTCAATCATTATGTTAGGTGCCCAGAGGGAAACATTTACTCTTAAAATCCTTTCTTTCTATCTCAGATGTGGCTAGAATGAGAAGGTCAAATATGGCAGCCTGAAGAACTACTTACTTGGATATGTACTCCTTATAACAATTGAGTTAACAGGATTACAGTTTTTTCCTGTAAAATCATAATTAACACTCATTCAGGTATTCCTTACTTGGTGACATGTCATCTCAGTCAGACCTTATTACGTAAATAGCTCTCCATTAGGATGTAGACATGCATCTAATTCTCAGAGGCGACTATGCAATTTGTAAAGCAGTAACCAGCGTTGGTGCCCCCAGCCTACGCCTGTGACAAGATGTCCTTCTGGTCTCTAGTCAACTGGTCTCAAGGCTACCTGTTCATCTTGTTTGTTTTTTGCTGTTGTTTTGTTTTTAATAAAAGGAAAATTTTCTATACTCCTAAATCTTCGCTGTAGCAAACAGAAGCACTGATGAGCTTTAAGCTTCCAACTCAGTAATTATTTAGCATGCAGGCCTATCTTTGAAGGAAACAAAAGGTTTCTACTGCTGTGTGGTTAAACACTGCCTGTTTCTCCCAGCTCAGTGGGAAAGAGGAGGCTGATTGTGGGTTTAGTGATTTTTTTTTCAGATTTCTCATGCATTTGGAGAGTAAGTATCTGGGTTTTTCCCATTGGCTTAAATGTATCCAAGCAGAGATGATACTAAAAATATTTAACAGGCAGTAAGACAAAAGTAGTTCCACTGAAAATAACCTAAACTGCCACACCTGTATCTACAGGCTGATGGGCAGCCCCTTTCTAAGGGTTCCTTCAAGCCCTGATAGTAAAACTCTAACTGGCATCTTGGGGGCAGGGAAGAGGGGAAACTGTCACTTTGTGGCTTGAGGAAAAATCTCTAATTTTGGAATTTTTCCCACAGAAGAGACATCTTAGAGAGTCCCTGGAAATGCTGCCTAATGTCTGAATGGGGAATCCCATCATCTTTCCCATGGACACTATTTGCCTCATTATAAATGGCCTGATTCTATATGCTCATGGAACTCTTTGACACCAGGTGTCAAAACAAGAAGTAGAATGTCATTTTTTTCTAATACTACTTCATAGAGTCCCTAGAAACTTACAGGCCATTATCTGATTTCCTTCTATAAAATAGGTTGGCATCTTGGTAGCAGGTGTTTCATAGTGATGCATATATTTCTATGTAAAAATAATGGCATTCTCACCCAATACCGAAATTTGAAATAGAACCTACCTTCAGTTTCTCAGGAGTGAAAGCATTACACATAGTATAGTTGGACCAGGTTCGATTGTTCTCAGGATGTTTATACCAAACCCCTTTCTCATCACAGTATTTTGTAACCTTTTCTGTTAAGGAAACACAATTATTACGTTATTATCTCAAACTACCAAGAAGGAAAAATAAAGCTTAAAAGCCATGCCACAACGTTAATCACTTTATATAACTTGAATGTGAATATAGGTCAATGGAGACCATCATGAAGATGTATTATGCACAATGTTTTAGCCTGCGTTTTCTCATTTTATCATCAGCGAAGCCATATAAAACGGATGTTGCTATATCTCCATTTTGTAAACAGGAAGCAGAGAGTGAGAGAGGTTATAGAGTTTGAAAAGTCACTGGATAGTGGGTCAGCTAGGATTTAATGTCAGGTCGGTTGCACTAAAAACTGCTACCTATACTGTACCTCATATTTTTTTAAAGCCACATTACATTTCTGATTTTAGATAGAAACTATATGAGAAGAGCAAGACCACATCTTCATTTATATGCAATATTTATTTATTAGGTTGACTGTATGAAACCACAGTTTTTGTGAGTCAGATGGTCAAATATTGGCAATTTCATATAGTTAAATCCAAGAGAACAAAGAAGTCCAAAACTAAGAGGTGTATCAAGAAATAATTTTTGTGCTTCTCAAAAATATTTCATTTAAATCATCTCTTTATCCCACAGAGGGCATACTAGGGATGTATAGATTTAGCCTTCGCTATTTACTTCTTTAACCATCTCTCAGGTAATAGTGAAATTTGCTGATTTGGCTGGATTGGCATTTTAAAGATCTCCACCTTTCTATGGGCCAGGCACTGTGCTAAGCACTTTGCAGAATTATTTTCTTAAATGTTAATAATGACCCTTTAAGATGGGTATTGGTCTTCCCATTGTACATATGAGGAAACTGAGGCTCAGATAGGTTGAGTAAATTCCCCATCTATGGCTAGCAAGTAGGAAGGCCAGGGGTCAAATCCAGGTCTGGTCTGCTTGATTCCAAAGCTATTGTGCAGCTAGTTAACTCTGTATTAAGGCTCATAGTTCTGTGGGCAAGTTATCTACACTCCATTCAGTGACCCAAAGAATCATAAATAATTTGTTGACTGTAAGATAGTATTTAAAATCTAATCTGATTGGCTATACAAATGGAAGAAAAAATTATATTGAGTTAAATAAAATAGAAAATAATGAACAAATGCACATTGAAATGAATTCACTTGCCAAATTTAATCTGAGTTATTCTGACTTCCTCTAGTTCTCCAGAGTATCTCTGCAATGCACTTATTGCCTTAGATATCAGAAAGCAACCTCAAATTGGTATAATATGCAAATAGGTTTTACCAGTGTATTTAGAACCCTTACAAAATTTTGATTTTTGATAATTTCCTGGCAAAAATATTTTTGAAGCATTTTTCTTCATTGGCAAAGGCAAAGAGCTGTCCCACCTGTGGATAGACCTTTTATTGTATCACTTTTGGGGTTTTTGTTTTAGTCCAGGATGTGGGAGTCTGAATCACATACTAATATTTGGAGGAAACTGTTATTGTTTTAAATACTAAGAAAACAATTCATGTAAAAAAAAAAAACCTTATTTGTCTGAAACATCACTGAGATCTCATAATATTTAAAATAATTTTCTATCAGTAGTTATGGTTAGTCAATCAATATGCTAAGAGCTAGTATGAGAATTCTTTTATCTTTGGCAGATTTTAAGGGAAATTAAAAATTTTTAATTATAGAACTGAAACAGGTGCTATCAAATTAAACAAGATTCAAGCTTAAAATTGTAGATTTGTTTGTATGTCTACTCTAATAATTATTTCCAGTGGATGAAAAAACACATTCTGCAAGCAAAAGATGTTTTCAAGCAACCATGAGACTCATCATTGCTTAATGTAAATTTGTTAGAAAGTTAAATGGAAAAATTTTTAATTGTAAATTTGCTGAGATAGCCATTGGACAAAAACTATATAAAGAATCACCACTGAGGGGGTGCCTGGGTGGCTCAGTTGGTTAAGTGTCCAACTTCTGCTCAGGTCATGATCTCACAGTTTGTGAGTTTGAGCCCCGTGTTGGGCTCTGTGCTGACAGCTCAGAGTTGGCTTTGGATTCTGTGTCTACCTCTCTCTCTGCCCCTGCCCTCCTCATTTTCTCTCTCTCTCTCTGCCTCTCTCTCTCTCTCTCTCTCTAAAAAATAAATAAACATTCAAAAAAAAAAAAAAAAGAATCACCACTGGACACCAACAATATTTCAAAAAAGGGTTAGCACTAATCAGCATAGAAAAATTGATATTGACAATTGGTCAATGATTTTGCTAATGCTATTTGTTGAAGCTTCTTGCAATTTTTAGAAAAGTGGCTTGCAATGCAGCATCTTATCTTTATTATATTGTCAGAAACTAGCTTATTACTTTATCAAAATGAATACAATCTGTTTTAACAACGTTATTTAGCTATGTAAGGCAAAATATATTCTATGGAGGAGGGAGGGGTGTTCCTCCTCAAGAAGTCCATTCCAATCATGGACAAGACTGTAGGAAATATTATTTTGTTTTGATGTCACTAAAGTCTGGATCTAAGCATTTCTTGGTTCTACCTGTTACAGCTATAAGAACTTGTCCTCCCCACCTGGCAAGTCTTTCAATATTCAAAGAAAGGACATGTCTACTCTAACTTCCCTTTCCAAACCAAACATCCCTATTTACTCACACTACACAGTTTGCTGTCCCTTCATAGTCTGGAGCCACTCTGCATGTGCTGTGATACTGGTATTTCCCTAAAATATTTTAAGTTTGGACTGCCCCATGAAGAAGGCAGCATGCTTATTTCACTTTAGATTCATATGGAGGTTTTACAGATGCTCAGCTCCAATCTCCAGAGATTCAAACTTGATTAACTGGAGAGGTAACCAGGCATTAGCATTTTTAAAAAGCTCACCAATTCCAAACGGTATCAGGGTTGAGAATCATTGTCCTAAACCATGTTGACCATCTTGGCGCTGTGCCATTAATGTTGACTGAGAGACATTAAGATCAGGGCCTTAAGCACCTCCTTGTAAATCTGCTTTTTACATTCTAGCATATTCCTTCAGGCCACCAGCCTCTTTTGAATTTCAGTGCTGTTACTCACTCTCTCATGACCTGTCTTTTACCAAGCACTTTGTCTAAAATGAAATCTCTGTCATTTCATGAAACTGTTTTGTTTATCATCAAGGTGTAGCTTTGGGTCAATGGTAAAATCCTAAAGAATTTACGTTTGGTGAAATAGGTATTTTTAACATGTGTTTTTCTTTTGAAGTGGATTTGTCTCCCCGTTGAGAGGGTTCTTTCTACAAACCAGGCTGATAAGATGGATCTATGCCTGGAAATCCCTGTTTTGCTGACCAAAAACTTGCCTTTTAGTCAGTAAGTATAGCCATTTTGGCAAGAGCCCATTGCTGCTTTGGAACTGGCCTTGTAGTCTCAGTTGCAGAAAAGCTCTTTGTGCCAATCAAGTTACTTCTAATGTAGTTGTCAAGTCAAGATTAATGAAGCATCATTTACTGGGAGGAGTCAATAAAAGATGGAAAGATTATCATCAAATAGCATTTAGTTAGAGTTTACAGGAATGTAGTGCTGAGCAGGGGCACAGCACTAAGCCCTTCCTCTTTTCACAATGAGAATTTTCAGCAGTGGCTGGCCTGAACTGGTTTTTAAAGTAGTCCCCTGTAATCTCATTTTCACTATCTCTGTCTTACGGGGTGGAACTTTGGATCTCATCCTTGCTAGATGCACGAAAAGCATCTCTCAAACATTGATACAGGGACAGACTAATTTCTCTGCTCTAATCTGGATTCCAGAGACTTTCTTGACTAGATTTTACCATTTGACTATTGTTTCTATCTTAACTGATGACTCACTTTCGGTCTGTGCAGCAGTAACCTCTTGCCATTCTTTATCAGTGAGTAAAGGGAAACAGATGGGCTGGTTGATCCCAAAAGGTGGTAGAAACTCTGACCAAACAACTCTTGGAAAAATTTGAAAGTTAAGGTTTGTTTTTTCATACATAATCTCTTAAGCATGAAACAAACACTGATTCCTCCCTTCAAAATGCTAGTTCAATGAAGATCCTTCCTGTCAGGACCTTGGCATTCCCTTCCACTCACTGAATATTCCAACTCTCTTCCACTGAACCACTCCCAAAAGGACACTGAGGAAAATCGGCACTGTGAGGTGTGGAGGGATTACTGTGTTCTGTTATATCACATCTTGTTAAAAGGGAACAGGAGCTTGAGACGGAATGAACTGACTACCTGGGGCCCTGACTCCCAGCCAGCCAGTTCAACACCTAGAGCCACTTAAACACAGTCAGCAGACTGGGACTCAGGCACACCCAGGCACACTCTGCTCTCAGGCACAAACCTCACCTGTTAACTGGGATTTAAATCGTGTGTCTGTAGCTTAGTTTCAGCATATGGGTCTCTTTTATAACTAAGATTTATACTCCCTTTTCAGTATGTTAATCCCATATAGTATTTCATTAGGGCAGATTTTCTATCTAGTGTTTTGGAACAGAATTTTTCTGGCCCTTAACACCTGCAGTCCCTGAAGCTAGGTAGCTACTGCTTTTTACTCCTCTGGTACAGTCTCGTCGGATACTGGGCTCTCCCTCCCATGGGCACAGCTACTTAGTGTATTGGTTGAGCTTTCCTGGTACCAGCCACTTTCTTAACTGGACTCTCTTTATTATTTAACACATTTTCATCTTGGCTATACATTTAATCACAAGCAGGACTTTAAAAGATCATGCCCAGGTTATGCTCCAAACTAATTATTTAAGAATATCTGGGGTGGTACCAGGCATCAGGATTTTTTTAAGTTTCCTAGGTTCTTAGCTAAGTTGAGAATCACTCATTGCTAACACCTACCCAAATCCATTCCCCTGATCCCCACATAGCTAGTCTCTGGATTGAGGCTGTTATACAAACTCAAACATCTCTTTACACATTCCTTGCACTGCTCCTGACCACTAACTACCAGAGCATCTTGGATTCCAGATCTCCAATTTATTTGGATAGCTGACAGTTCAGAGATACATCTTGTCAGCCCTCTGGCTTCTCGCTCCACTTGGTAGCTGGTACTCCTCGACCTTTATCCTGCCTAAGCATCCTGACCCAACTTCCAGTTACACCAGTGTGGTTAGATTAAGGCCTGAAGGAAAAACATGTCTTCCTTAGAAGGTTCTAAAGGTACTTCAATCTGCACAAGTTTGTATGGAGACTTAGAAATATTGCTTCCCAAATGCTTTTCCAAGACTGTAGCACTTACTTATATGTATTATATATATATAAGAGAGAGGGAGACACAGAATCTGAAGCAGACTCCAGGCTCAGAGCTTTTAGCACAGAGCCTGACATGGGGCTCAAACCCACAAACTGTGAGATCATCACTTGAGCTGAAGTCAGATGCTTAACCTACTGAGCCACCCAGGTGCCCCTGCATTTACTTACAGAGGGTTAAGTAAGAGCTCTAGGGACTTGGTACACTTGCAATTTTGTGTCAAATATTGTGTGAGTATAAAATGAGATAATATATATGAAAATGTTTTGAAAAGTTAAAAATGACACTCAATGAAAAGTATTCCTGTGTTACTTTTATAACTAAAATGAATTTGGTGTCACTCATTTACTTAACACACATTTAGTGACTGCTTATGTTGTGCAGGGCATGGGGCTGGGTATTAGTATGATCCATTATAACAGCATTAGTCTTATTTACTGAACATATTTTAATAATCTACTGTTGGAACAGAAATCTAGTAGATGTCTAGAGTTACCACCTTCTGGTTTATTTTCCTTTAGACATGACAGTTTTATATAACTCTCTTTTTTAAAATTTTTTTAATGTTTATTTATTTTTGAGACAGAGAGAGCGAGAGCAGGGGAGGGGCAAAGAGAGAAGGAGACACAGAATCTGAAGCAGGCTCCAGGCTCTGAGCTGTCAGCACAGAGCCTGACATGGGGCTTGAACTCACGAACCGTGAGATCATGACCTGAGCAGAACTCAGACACTTAACCGACTGAGCCATCAGATGCCCCTATATAACTTTCAGTGTTATATAAAATTTCCATTGTGCATGCTATATCAGCCCAGTAGACCCGAACTCTAGACCAAGCATTTGCATAAGTTGCTAAATGTGACACAATTGAAAACTTAAGAACAACCACATTTAAGCAAAACTTCACAGTTTAAAAAAATTAATTTAAAATTTTACTAAAATTTAATAACAAATATTTAAAATACAAAAAATTTAACTTTTATTTAGAATTTAAGACCTAATGTACACAACTGACCAGTAATGTGACTTAAAAAATAAGGAGAGCTTGTAATATTTGTGCAAGTGGGTAATATTTCAAGTAAGAAAATTCTTCAGAAAATGCTGAAACACACAGAGTATGATTAGATACATATCTTTTATATCTGATTTTCTTTTCAGAACCATGAAAATTCTAAAAGCGAAGCAAAATGTGAAATAAAAAGAAATATTTTACCTGATGGATCAAAGTCTGGAAAATAATCTGGGCAGTATTGATGGGACAGTACTCCAGCCGGTGTATCATCCCAGCACAGCCATCCATCCCAGGTACGGTTGCAATACGGACCTGATTATTCAGAAAGAAATTAACACTGTATTTGGAAAAAGTTGCAGAATCATCAGCAGGGATTTGACAGTGTTAAACAGGATCTATCTATTTAATAGATGGTTATTTTGGAGCTCTGGACATGCATATGGAAATATTAAAAAGAACACCAACAGCAACAAAATACAGATATTAACTTTACCAACTCTTTAAATAGAGTTTACATTTTTAGAGGGTTTTCTCCATTTGCTCCTCAAAAGACATACATGTCATCTGTATGGAATCTTTCCTCTAAAATCTTTCCTTGAAAATGTCTCCAGAAATGCTGCAAAGAAATCTTGTGAAAGGTATATGCAGTATCACCCCTGGATCAGAGGCTTACCTTGAAAAAACTATATGTTTTTGTAACATGTGGATCCTACTAGCCATTAACCTTCAAAGGGGTTGCCTTGAATAGTTCTATTCTTAATCCAAGGGTTTAAAATTCAATTGTTCAAAATTCCTGTGGGAGATGCATTTGTACACAGTTAACAGGTCACACAGAAATCTAGTCTTATTATTTTAGAATCACACTTTGTTAGTAGCTAAAATAATGCTCAGTTTGAGTAGTTTATGTATTTATCAGCATTGGGTCTTAGTGGTGTCTCACTGCTTTCAAAATTTAATCTACCTTAAAATGTGAAGATTGACCTCTATAAAGCTATTCAAAAGAATAAGCCTCAGGCTTTGAAGGCAGTCCAAGAACAAAAAAAAAAGGAAGGAAGGAGGAAAAAAGGAAAGAAGGAAAGAAAGAAAGAAGGAAGGAAAAGAAAAAAGAAAAAGAAAAAAAACAGAAAAAAGAAAAGAAATCTTAAAAGAATGATCATAGCACAAAAGTTCAGCCTCCCAAAATGATTAAGACTGAAGTGAATGAAGGAGTCTGCTCTCGCTTGGTCTCTGAAAATAAATGTTGTGTTTCTATTGTTTCACTTGCTTCAGAAGAAATGATTTCTTCTTTGGGCAGAGTTGTGTCTAATGACTTTTCAGTTTCTTAAAAAACACTGAAACTACTGGAGACCGAAGAATAACATGTATCTATTTTTCTACCGTCTTGAGTTCTGTTTAAAAGAAATATTCTAAAAAATAGGAAGTAGAAATTAAGTAGAAATTTAACTATTTAAAGGCAAACCATGTGTAATAATAGAATATAGTTAACTGATATTCCCCCTCACCCCCAACACACACACCAAGCGGTGTTATCTTAGAATATACAAGGGTGTACAAGATCTTGTTGGGTCTTTTCAAATGTTTTAGGGGACAGGGAAGAGAACTGAAATGGATGTAGTAATGCTTGGTCATCACATAGCCCTCTATGGCTAAGAGAATAGGCTTGGCCCTGAAAATATTTGAACAGTCACATAGAGCATTCTAGAGAAGGTGACAGATAAACAATGCCTGCCTAGGAGATAGATTTTTTCTAATTTCTCTGGGAACTGGGGCTAGCAAAGGAGAAGGAATACCACTAGTTGCCAACGAATTGACAGTTAAGGGAAGATACTGCCTAATTAACCCAAAACAAGACAGGATTTTGACAGGATTCACCTGAGGCAAATTCTCTGCCCACCATTTCCCATTCCCTTCCTATCATTTTCCAATTCTTCTCCATCACTTCGTCCTGCATTGTCCCTCCTTGCCAGGTGTGAATACTGAGTTATTGTAGTAATTTTGTCATAAGTGTAGATGTTAGCCCAAAACCAGTTGGGTGGACTTGAGCAAAGAAAGTAGGCATGTGTCCAGCATGAAATATACAAGCATACCATAGTTTGAAAACCACCGTTAAAACTGCTGGCATATTAAAACTAGTCAACACATATTTACCCACTGAAGCAAAAAACCTTTAATGTTGTTTGAAACATATTTGCATACATCTTTCTTCTTACCTTCTCCTTGGTATGGGGGTAACTGCTGCATGCGGTCATAGCATTTGTACTGCGCATCCGTCATTTTCTTACGTCCTAGGACGTAGAGAAATGGCTCGGACTTCATATTTGGAGGATAGGTGTCATTTGAAGTGGCAGGAAGAATTGGGGTTGGGTGCTGTATTAAAAAGAAAAATCAGTCACTTATAGAGAGCAGGAACCGGTGTATACAGAAATAAATGAGACAGTCAAAAAGTTTGAAAACATTTTCCTTCCATGAGCAACAATTATATATGGTCTCCAAGTGGAATATTTTTCTTCATAACTGAAAAGTGTATTTATATTTCATCTACAAATTCTACCTACAGATTTCATATATGCATTCTTTCCATTCACTACTGAAAATGTATAGCCCCCACTCAAACTCATGCACCTCTTTATCATATAAGATTGTTTTAATTTTGTTATCACTGTTAAGTTTAGAGGTAAACAAAACAAATAACCTGATTTCCAAAAAATACCAATATTAAATCAACTTTGCCTTCTTTGGAACTTCTAATAATCATGAATCATGTTATTAAAAATAGATATATTAGTGCAATAAGTAAACTTTTATATTAGATTCTTTCAGCTGATTTTTATTTGTGCTTAGATTACGTGCACTGCCAAAAATTCACTCCAGGTAGTCACAGAACAAACAAAATCTGTTCTTCTGAGATACTCTGCATTGGATAATTGGCTTTAATATCTTTAAATAGGCTTCTTCAGCAGATGACCTACACAGGATAATTTATTTTCACTGCTGGAAATCAGTGCAAATCTTAAATATTTCTCTTAGTGCTTCTGCACTTTTGGTACAGGCTGTCACTGGTCATGATCACAGACTGACAAATCATCCTAAGTCATGTTTATATAGATTTCAATTTCTTTTGTGGCCATGATGTTTTTGGTGGTGCTTGAATCTGTGATTCTATACCCATGTTCTGCATAGAGACTTGTTCAGAGAAGACTGCAAGCTTCAGCCTGCACTGGCTTTTTCTTCTTCTGAAGTTAGGAAGTTGCTCTCTTTCTATCACACCTGTTAAACACATTTTTTTATTTGGCCTTATTCTGTCTAAATTATTCTAAGATTGAAGTTTCCCCAACTGTATTCATGCCAGAAACAGTGTTGCATACTTTTCTCTATTCCTCACAGTCTTTAAAACAAACTCATTTTTATTAAGTTGACCTGTATACCTCAGGCTACTCGGAGTGTAACCACACTGTTTTCCAGTGTATGTCATTGTGTGGATGCGGCATGCTTTCCTAACAGATAGCATGTCACTAGATGCTAAATTGTACAATGCATAATACAATAAAAATTCAGAGTGTACAGAGGGCATGGTGCAAGAATAGTCAGTTACCATTACAGATACAAGGTAGAATTTCAACTGGACTTTGAGTATATGCAGTGTCTACATAGGCAGAGAGGAGAAGGAAGGCTTTCTGAATGAAGGGAAAGGAATGCATATAGGTCCCAAAGGTAGGAAATGGCACGTATGAGACACAGTAAGGAAACCATTGTTCCTGGAGTGAAGCATATTTGGGGGTTAGTAAGAAATGGAGTCAAGGAAAATCAGATAATATAGAGCCCTGAGAAAACAAATACAAAGTGCCTAGTGCAATGAAAGGCTCAATACATTTTAGCTAATATCATTAAAACATGACAATAAATTAAATATGTACTGTAGGCTTTTGACCAGTGAAGTTTGTGAAAGGAAAATGTTAGTAAAATTCATGTGCTGGGCATCAGATGTTCACAGATCAGAGCTGGGGAGGGAGCCAGGAAGCTGAAGGCATGGACTAGAGCACTGCGTGAGGGAACAGGGAAGCACAGCCCTCAGCACTTTCTCAGATAATAAAAACATATATTTGAATATAAGGACCGGAGAACAGTAATAGTCAAATAGCTCAGGTATTTTAACCTACATAATGGACAAGAATGGGAATACCTGAGAAGGGAGAAGTTACTAGGGGGAAGAATGTAAGTTCTCTTTTGTTCTTGTTTTGAAGGTGCCAGCAAGGCATCTGAGTAGAAATTGCTTGCAAACAGAAGAGGGTGAATACTTATTACATACTGTGATAACTCTAGATGGACACTTACTGTGGGTATAGTTGATACTACTCTTTAAATATTAGGATTGTTTCTAATTTTAATGCTTCTTGAATGTATGACAGAAAAAAAAAGAGACATTAATGAACTCACAGAAATTATTTCAAATGTACAAATCCTTCACCAACATAGTTGAACACCATTCTGTTGTCATATGATCCTTCCCTACTGGTTTTAAGATCAACCAATCAGCAAATAGTCATTGAACTTTATCAGCCAAGCATTATGCTAGTGCTGAGTAAAATAAACATAGATCCTGCCCTCATGGAGCTTACAGTCTAGCAAGAAAGATCAACATAAAATATTTCCTGACACCAGGAACTGTGAAATGTAAAGAATCATTAATAATTGAATGCTCAGTATTCCTTCAGGAATTGGAATGTGGTTTGGGAGTAAAAAATACATATTTTTAATAGATTTCACGTTAAAGGCTTCATTGTGGATTATACTAGCCTACATTTGTACAAATGCATGTGGCTGTGTGTGTTTTAACAATCTGACTAAAGATCACATAACCATGGTCTTTAATAGATCATTGTATCTCCACAATAAGAGATATCAATTATAGGTTAACCTTATGCATCTATTTTAGATTCTTTGTAGCTCTATTCTTAGAATCTTTAATTGATGTGCAAATTGTCATTTGATATATTATTTATTTATGGGTAATTTTCTCACCGTATTCAAATGAAATTAGAAGCTGGAATGTGATGTCCGATATAAATATTTTCTGTCATTTATACTAGATGTTTTAGATGTTAGGGAGCATCCTGTTTAAGTTTGGCATTCTTTCCAAAAGTAACATTCTGAATTCTATCTTTAATGGACTGGGCAACCAATTAATAAATGTTCCTGCACTAGTTGGAAATTCTTGTAAGCCATGGGGAGTCATTATGTGCAAGGATACCAAGAGGAAAGCCTGGTACTTGTGTTTTCAATTACAGCATGATTTGTTTTAATGAAGTTTTAACATCTATAACAGTGTAGATATGACCATTTGAAAGAGCATGTGTATTTCATGTAGATGATAGGAGCATCAATCTTACCATTCTTGCAATATTGAAACAAACTCCAGTGAACTTGGTTTGGAGCCTGGTTCCATAGAGATTGTTTCAACACTGAAGGAATGAGAAATTAGAACTTCTGTCATAGATGAGACATAGTAATCTGAGTCCACTCCTTGTCTGGTTGGTGTGTGAGCAATGACTATAGAATGTTTGCAGTGGTAACTGAATGCTTCAGTGACTTTCTTCTGAAAATAACATATATTTGAGGCATTCTGTCATATATGTATATATAATGGATATGAAGATATAGACAGATAACGATTATATATATAATTCTAATAATGGAATTACCACTGCTTAAAAATAATACACATACAAACTTCATAAAGCTCATGAACATAGAAAGGTTTTGCTGGTGATTTTGTACCAATAAAAATGGCTAGTGAGGTGGCATAATTTTCAGCAATATAGAGACAAAAAAGAAGCAGTAGTGATTAGATAAGACTACCAAGCAATGTGAAACACTTAAAAATACTTTAGTTATCATAAGTATTATGTTTATATTATACATTTTGGCACATAAATATTTTATGCTCAAATGAAGATAGAGATGAGATATTAAGGGCACATTGATGTTCTGGATAAGGATTCATGTTCAAAGTTTTTCATACAAGCCATCTTATATGATTCTCCCAAAGCAAAACAAAAAACAACCTCTTAATTGTTGTCCTATGCAGCAGTTTAGCCGCCGTATATGTGATGTCACTCCTAAAGGTTCAAGTAAATGGCGCCACACATACGACCACCAAGCTGCCACCAATACCTGCAGTCCGTAGCTGAAACACCGTTGTTCTTTCAGTTAATAAATACTTTGCTTCCCCCATGCCAGTTACTGTTCTAGGTACTGGAGATTCAGCAGTGAACAAGACTGGCAAGGTCCCTGCCCCCATGGGGCTCACATTCTAGGAGGTTTGGTGCACACTAATCATGGAGTCCAGTGGAAAGCAATCTGGTTTGAGTGGATATGTACTCAAGCAATTCCTACTTTGATGTAAGACAATCTTCCTACTTCTTGGTTTCTAGAAGCACAGAGACAAAACAATTACAGGACCATTCTGTGTAGAGCTTTAAGAAATGGTGCATCACTGCAGTGGTTCAAACGTAATGAATATGGGAACTCATGCTACAGTGCTGAAGGGAGAGATTCCTATTGATTGCCACAGACAGAATTTGTCTAAAAGGAACATGATTCCAGAATCCACAACTTGATATAACGAGCAGGATTTTGACATCACCATCCTTAATACTGACAATGTACATGTTGGAATTGTTTGTAGTTTTCAGTTACTTATACTTTTCAAAATAATAAAGGATAAAACAGAGCTTTGTAAAGTGTTAACCTGGTTCTTCCAGGTAGGATCAGATGGTTGGTATCCTATGTTTTTTCTACTTAAGCATTATTTAAACAACAAAACTGCTCCATAATGATAAATGCCAAGCAAATAGGGGAATACAGATAAGTTACCAACAACGAATGCTTCTCAGAAGAATCTAGTTTTTCTATGTCTTCATCATTGTTGCTATAATTATCATCATCACTATCTTTTTTTTTAGAACTCACTATGTGCCAAGCACTATTCTAAGCCAATTGCACTATTACAGATAAGGGAGAGGAAATGAGTAGGTGGTTTTGATTGATGTAAATTGAGGCTCATGAAATGTGGTGACCCAAACTGATACTTTAAAGACCATTTAGAAATCAGGTTGGTAAAATTCAACAAATATACTGGCAGTGATTTTTCACAATAATGTATAAAAAAGTAATATTTTATAGTAATTAAAATCAGTACCACTTTTTAAAATAATTTACTTTTCTTGAAGGAGTATCAGTGTGGAACACAATGTGTGTTTTAGAAGGAAACTCACATATCAAAACTTTTTTTTTATGGAAGAATCCTCCAAATCAAATATATGATCCAAATACAAGACAGAGAAGCAAATTTCTGTTTATCACAGGAAAGAGAGCACAAAGCCACTTAAGTGCCCTGTACAGTATGTTTACTAGTAAAGAGATGCCCACAAACCATAAAATATTTCTGCCCATGGCTCAAATATATGAAATTATTTTAATCTTTGAATTTTGTAAAAGTTTTGAATAGAATTGATCTACTTTAGTTTTTTAGCACACCACAAATTATCTGTAGTCTTTATAATAGAAAAGGTGGAAACAGTCAAACTGTCTTCTATCTAGTTAAAGTTACTTTAGTTTTTCTTCTGTCAATGTTTAATATAATTATATGCCTTATAAAATAAAATTATTTAGAGATATTTACATACAACTGATCACATAGGATTTAATTTAAGTTATAAAAATAACAATATCAATCACGAATAGAATATACCAATATTTCTGTAGCTATAGAATCTCATATAAAGCTTGAGCATTTATAGACAAAATAAAATGTGCTAATAATTTCTACAATATTCTTGTTCCAGTGTTTTTATTATATTTACAATGGCATGAAGTTACCTGCATTTCCAAATACCAGATTACTTTTAGCAAATTATGTTGTATTTTATCTAAAGATTATAACATGATACTTTTACATAATAAAATAGACTATACTTAATATCCAAGTAGATGCAAAAGGACTACATTGACAATCATACCCATAAACCACTTATTTGATGTATAACATTACAAAATAAAAATTTCCTTAAAAATAAGATTTATGTTTATGGAATATTAGTGATATTTTTCCCTGAATAATGTTAAGAGAAACAGTTTATACAAAATTGTAAGCCCATGACGACACATTAATTAACAATGTAAATCCTGGAACCCTGGACTAGTTTTGTTTGCCTGAGCATAATAGGATCAGTTATTGACTGAATTTTATTGCCAGGTATAATTCATTGGCCAGGATAAGGATCAATACAACCCCCAATTTGTTTATGTAAAATTTACTCATCTCTCTTTCATGTGCTATGGAAGTTGATGTGATGGGGAGTTAACAAAGTTAACACAAATAAATAGGCAGGCACTGGTAGTATTTTCTAAGATAATTGCAGTTCTGACTACTTGCTAACCATTTAGGAAAAAAACAATATAAAATTACAGAAATTGGGCATGATTTACAAGGCTAGAGAATGAGTTATGGAATGACATTGGTATGTTAAGACCTAAGATTCTTAGTTTTTTTAAAAAATTTTTTTATGAGAAATGCATTTAAAATCAATAGCCAGACTGAAAGAGTTCAGATGTTTTAAAAAGACAGAAGCCTAGAAACTGGTTCAGATCCACATGTCTAAGATGAAAAACATTTTATCGAAGGACATTATTAGCCTTCGATGTTAATTTCCAAGATAATGTGGAGATGTCTCAAGTTAACGCTAAATTTTTATAAACAAAGCTCACATTTTTCAGTGAACTATAACACAAATCTAAATTGTGAAAGTTGGGGGAGGGGGATCTGTTAACAAAGTATCAAGGAAATGATAGTTTTGGCTTGTGGAATGTAGTTTTGGCAAGACCTCTCCCTGTGTGAGTGTCTACTCAATCACATGCTCTGTGTCAGCATTCTTGATTAACGTGGCTTAAATAATGTTTTACTTACATTTAGGAAGATGAAGAGTACCAAGCACCGGCGGGTCAGTGTGAACTTCATTTTTGGTTTTTGAAGATGATCTTCTAAGTCCTAGAAAAATATAAAAGTAACAAAGACATTTACATTAATATAGGTTTAAGACTGACTACAGTCAATTTCTTTTTCTTGTCTTTCAGTTTGACTTAGAGAGGATCATGTCCCAAGACATTCTAAATAAATTCGTGTAAGTAAACAATATGCTTGTGATGCAAATGCAGTTGCATGTTCCATTGCCCTTCCTTTCAGCCAGGAAGGACTGGTGTCTGGTTGTTGTCTAAAGTCCTCCTATTAAGAAATTCCAGAGCCACCTTTACATATCAGGATCAAAATATAGGATTCAGAGAAATCAAGAGCAATCAATGTGGGCTTCAGTTAACATGTGGTGTCAGTAGAACTGTTGAAAATTTCAATGGAAACGTCCAGAAAGAAATCACTTCATTAGACATGAACAAATACAATCAATGATTTGTAAAGGATCACCTAGGTAATTTAAGGCAACTTTTATTTAAGCAGTCTTATTTAGAGCCTTGAGTATTTTCCTTTCCTACAGAATTTTCTACAAGCTTCAAGTTGCTATTAAGAATAAGTTTCTTCAATAGCAAGGATAGAATATGTCAAAATATTTTTCTTTCCTACAAAATCTCCTACAAGCTTCAAGTTGCTATTAAAAATAAATTTCTTCCACAGCAAGGATTGAGTATGTCACCTAACAGCTCACCATTCCTACCCAAAAGCATGTAATCGTCAGAAACATGCTGCTGTCACAAATATCAGTTTTTCATGACTGCAGATAATTTTACACAAGGAAAGATAATAAAAGAGCAAAAAAGTATATATGTATATTTTTCATCAGTGGGATTTGCATGAAAACTGTATTTCACCTAGGGGTGAGTGGCTATGATCACATCATATATCTTACACTTACATATTCTGCTAGGTATGTTACTATCTGCACTGTCTACCTAATACACTTGCTCCCCAAAGAGCAAAAGTTGTATTCCATTTACATATCAGTACTACAGGAAACTGAGAATGTAAAGTATAATTTTCAAGTGTCATCCTATATGCGGATTATTATTTATGGCTTGTGGTTTACCTCAAGTCCACTAGTCAATTAAAAACACACATGGGTGAGCTGGATGAGACATGGTCCCATTACAAGAAACTGAGCATTGGGGTGTCTGTGCAATACACTAGGTATGAATGATACAAGACGTGTGCTAACACAACTATAACATAAAATGGGTAAAATGATCAAAAAATGGTACAAATACAGAGCTTCATAAAGGTGAGAGCTTCTGAATAGGGGAACCAGGGCAGGATTTGTATTTTGACTGAATAGGATTTTGAAAAGCAAGACCTATAGGCAGTGAAAGCAAATGAAAACAAGATATGAAGATAGGCAAATTTAGGGGTAGCTGAAGAATAAGGAATACAATAGTTTAATTTAGCTGGAGCTTAGAGCTCCTCAGGAAGTGAAAATACAGCTAGAAAATTAGGGTCTGAGTACCTAGGAAATTTATTACCCAAACCATCCTTTCGGCACTTTATATGCCAGCTATACGTTTTCATCTAGGTATATACATAACCTGACAATCTTGCCTGATGCTAAACCCCTTTCAGATAAGAATTACGTTTTAGCTATCTTTATCTCTCACACTTCACATAATCACTTACACATGATTATTATTATTATTATTGATAATGATGGGTGTTAGTGGTCCAATGAATCAAAGGAAGCATAGAACTCTGTGATTTTTAAAAACTGCATCTTCTCTACATGACCACATTAACAAATCTGAATACTGTATATCATTTTCCCTCTCCAACTCCTTGCATTCCCGTGTCAGTGACTTGCATAATTATCCATGAATTGTCCAAAGGAGAAACCCAAATCATCCTTGATTCTGTGCACTTCCTCGTACCCAACATCTAGTCTCCAGGACTCCAATTCTATCTGTGTTTGGTATCTTTTCAGACATGTCCACCCTTCTCCACTGCCTTAGTACAGGACTCTGTCTTTCTCATCAGGACCCCAAAACAGCCTCAGGATGTTTCCCTACTTTAAGTCTTGATCTCTCCAACCCATTGTCTATATTAAAATGAGTGTAATTGTATCTTCTTTCAGTGATTCCCTACAAACTTTAAGTAAACGAATAAAACCCTCAACTAGGACTAGAATATAGGGCCCTATTATAGCAAGAAGCACCAATATGATTGTGCTGAGAAATCAAGAAGAAGAAACTAAAGTTGTCTCCCAGATTGCTAGCTTGGATACAAAGTTAGATAATGAAGAAATTCAGGAAGGGGAAGTAGGTGAAAGAAAAAGAACTTTTGATTTGTATTCTCCTTTAATTAAAAATATTACTACCAGAATCTTGGATGAGTCTTATTTCCTGGGCTGAAAGGCAGGACTTTTGAAATGTACTGTGTGGGGGCGCCTGGGTGGCGCAGTCGGTTAAGTGTCCGGCTTCAGCCAGGTCACGATCTCGCGGTCC